CCGGGTACTCAGAACATTGGCACGACTGCCTTCTTGCCGTTTATCCGGCAAATAAAGATTGTCGTTTGTCATTAGGACGACATTAGCACGGCAAAGTGTCGTTTAAACGACAACGACAATTGCCGGACTAGTGTGAAAGGTCCCTATTAGTTTCAGTCTCGATACTAGTATCCGGCGTCGTTTAAACTACAGTCGAGTAAGTGTGAAACTGAATTGTCGTTTAACCGGCAACGACTATGCCGGATAAACGAAAGCTCGACAATTTCGTGTCGTTTAAACGACAACGACAAAAATCGGGTTAGTGTGAAAGCTCCCTATTACTCTCTCTCCCGAATGCAGTGTACACAGCGTCGTTTACCCGGCTGCCGGGTAAGTGTGAAATAAGCCTAAGGGGACTTAGTTCCAGAATAAAATTTATTTTTCTTCTTCTTCTATTTGTTGTCCTAAGTCAGTATATAAATTTTTGTTGTTTACCTGCTAGGGGCTGCAGTTATTCGTTGCAAAATTTTGAACTGAAAATATCTTTTTTGTAAGTGTTTTTTTTTTTAAAGAACCGTATATCTGTGAGGAATATGCCCAAATGGGTTTAAGTAGGTTTGTGTATTTGTTTTAGTTTTTGTCTGATTTTCAACTTTCATTTCGAAAAAAGAGAATATAGTATTTTCAGTGCATGTTTAAAGTCTTTCTTTATTTTATTTTTATATTTTCACTTCACTGAAAATATATCACTAAATCCGAACGAAATGTTTTTTTAAATATATTGTATGTATTTTTTATTATATACTATCTTAGGTATTTTAACTATTTTAGAACGTGCTAGGTAAAGAAAACATAATTTTAAATTCTGCTACTCATTCAGGACTCAATCTTCAGGACTTCCTCTCTCAGGATTCAAATCTATTATGCAGGAGCTCCTTAACTACCTCGTGAAATCTGCTATCTCCTTCACTTTACGAGCACTATCCCTTTAATAAGGATTCTTCTTTTAATAAGGATATTTTGTCCTGGAATCACAGCCTCTTTATCAATGTTAAAATTAGATATTAAAAATCTGCAAATTATCACATAATGGTTTATAATTTGAAAACAGTTATGTACCAAATGTAACATTACTTTCTTTCTCACATAGAGGATAATATATATTTGACTAAATTTTTTTTTATCATTAGTAATTTGCTAAAAAATACAGACAACAATATTATTGGTTTTAGTTGATTTATGGCTTCCCCAAAATCAAAACCAAAGGATATCAGATTTCAGTATAACATCTAGGATTGAAGAGTGGTGTCAAAACTGGAGAATAAAAATAAATACCAATAAATTCCATCAAATCACCTTTACCCTTCTTCGTAAACCTATGTCCTCTTGTCCTACAGTATCCTTTAATAATACCCCACTTATCCCTGTTGAACAAATTCGATACCTTGGACTCCACTTAGACAAACGTCTAACTTGGAATCCTCATACCAGACTGAAACGACAAGAAACAGCTCGACGTTTCCGACTACTGCAGCACTTACTAGACAAACTCTCTAACCTCCCAGTCAATTACAAAAGACTCATATACATGACTACAATAAGACCTATTTGGACTTACGGAGTTAAGCTCTGGGGCTCCACTAAGCCATCGAATTCCTCTCGTATCCAATCCTTACAATCCAAAATCATCCATAACGACCTTAATGTTCCTTATGTTTCTGACCTGGCCCAATCCAGATACCTATCCTTCCTTAACAAACTTCAGAACCATCCACACCCTCTCGTTTCTAACCTTGCTTCCTCTTCGATCCCTGACAATCCTCAGAGGCGTCTGAAAAGAAGATAGCCTCGAGATCTCCTTTTGTAAATACATTTTTAGAGTGCTACCAACGGGTAGTTTCTCAACATGTGATTTCATGCTATTTTATTCCTTTGTTCACATTTACTGAATGTATTTTTACTTATAATACAGTTGTAAATATCATCAATAAAAAAAAACAAAAAAACATCTAGGAAATATTTAGAACAACATAACTTTGCATCACATCGTCCGATTTCAATAATTCTTTTTTTATTTATTTTTTTTTTTTTTTTATTTTTTAGGAAATTTCACAAACTTTTAAGTGACCATCCAACTTCAACTTTTTGAGTAATTCTGAAATCTAATTTTACCACTCTTCGTAACCAGTTTCTTTTCAGTGAAGTATGTTAGAGTTGCTACTGAGTACAGTCCTTCTCGGTGCCTCACATGTCATTATTGTCTGAAATATTCATATCACTTGCTGACCGTCAACAGATAACATTTGACAAGTTCTAATAAATGTTCAAAACAACAGAAAAAAAAAACTTAATTTTTTAACCTTATTTAGAGATTTTTTTAATTGAATTTTTTTTTATATTTTACTTTGAATTAACAACCGCATAAAAAGTCATGTGAGTGCAATCGCTTGATTTTTTTTACTGAAAAAAAAGATCAAAATTATATATTTGGAATTTGAGCTAGGAGCGCCTGCATTTTCTCGGTATGCAGTAACGCAACACTGATTAGATTTACAGGCTTGCATTTGTTCAAATGGTTAGGGGTAAAAACAAAACAACGTTTACTATTCAAATTTTATTCGAACTTTTCTCATAATTTAAAAATATTACATAATATATATTTTTATATATACGTTTTATGTATAAATTACTCTAGTAAATTTTACTCTGACTGATCTTCATTTGTACCATACTTTAAAAATGATACCATAGGATTATGATAACTAAAATGTTTGATGAATAATTTTGATTGAAAACTATTTCCTAAATATCTAACATTACAATATCTAAATATACATCTTTTTTTTTAATATAACTTCTGTAACGGAGATCACTAATTGGTCGAAACTTTATCCAGAAAATCCGAAAGAAACATAATTTCTTATTTTTAATCCTAATTAAAAGAAGTATCTATATCGACTTTCGAAAATTGGTTTCTCAATTCTCCATGGTATTTAAATTTTGCGATATATTAGTCCAAAACAGTCGTTTTTGTTTGTTTAGTTTATTGGAGTCACGTCAAAATACAATTTTAAATTACAGCTCATTACAAAGAGGATGAAATATTTAAAAACTTCCCTCGCTTACATTATGCAGGCCCAAATTTTAGTTTTTGAGATATTTCAATCCAAATGCAAAACACTTCAATTAGTCGACTCGAGCCGATTTTACCCGAATGAGCGTTACATATCCGAGCCTGACGTATCTGTCTCATTCATTACCCACAAAAATAGTGCAAAGCGCGCATGAAGTAGTTTTCACTTCGAAAAATAGTGAACTTTGTGTTCATAACTAGGGGTGGGAGTGAAAAAACCAAACGTTCGAAAAGAATAGTTCTTGATTTCAAACGAATGAACTGTTCTTCCAAACGCATAACTACAGTAGTTTTCTTTAGTTCACCCGTTCGCCACTAGTCCAGCCGCTGTTTCATCTGTTTTTCGTTTCGTTTTTTTCCGAACGAAACAAAAGCTCTTTCTTCTTTCCAACGAAACAATGAGAACATCATGAAAATACACAACACAATACGTTCTTCAAAAGTAGCAGAAAAGCTCGTCTCTATTCATAACCAGCCATGATAACTCAAAACCAGAAATATCTCTCTTAGTTCGCAGTTACCATGACTTCATATCAATACTGTTCAAGCTTGATATTTATTTTAGATAATTTTTTAATGATATATTTATTCATCTCTCCTTCCAACCCCTAAGCTAACTTGAACATAATTTTTTTTCTTACGCCTGTTGACTTCGACTTTTTCGTAATGAGTCTTCAGTAGCAGTTTTTAGGACTTTTATAGGCGACAGTAGTGGTCGTTTGGTCCTTTAATCTTCCATCCAGTTTTTTATGGGATAGGGGATTATCATCCCTATACCCAATTTCCTACCTGGAGGACCAGGAGCTGTGGTGTCGCTCACCTCTCCATGAATCTCTGGATGGATACGTCATCGTCTCCATATGGAAATCGAAACCGCGCCGTAGTAGGTTAGGGATTCCACTTATTAATTTTAGTTTATTATTATTTATTTTATTTTTATCATTTATTTTTGTGTTATTAATTCCTCAGAAATCAATTAATTAATGCTTCAATCACACATCATAAATCTTGAATAATAGTGTCAAAACTGGAGAATTAAAATAAACTCCAATAAATCCCACCGAATTATCTTTACCCTTCGTCGTAAATCAATGACTTGCTGTCCTACAGTTTCCTTTCACCTAGGACTCCACCTGGACAAACGACTAACTTGGAATCCTCATACCAGACTGAAACGACAAGAAACGGCTCGACGTTTTCGATTACTACAGCACTTACTAGACAAACGCTCTTAACTTCCAATTAATTACAAAAGACTCATTAACATGACTATAATAAGGCCTATTTGGACTTACGGAGTTGAGCTATGGGGCTTCACTAAACCATCGAATTCCTCTCGTTTCCAATCTTTCGTAAAATCCTCAATGCTCCCTACTTTATTACAAATAAAACCATCCATAATGACCTTAATGCTTCTTATGTTTCAGATCTGGCCCAATCCAGGTACCTATCCTTCCATAATAAACTTCAGAATCATCCCAACCCTCTCGTTTCTAACTTTGCTTCCTCTTCAATTCCTGATAACCCTCCGAGGCGTCTGAAAAGAAGATGGCCCCGTGATCTCCGAAAGTAGACATATCATTAGTGTGCTACCATTAGGTAGTTACTCAGCAAGTGTTTTCACGTCATTATATTCATATGTTCAAATTTAATAAATGTATTTCTTTAATACAGTTGTAAATATCATCAAGAAATAATAATAAAAAAATCCTCAGAACGGGGTTGGATGACTTGATATAATTTTTTGCAGGCACCTTAACTCACGCCCCTGAATTATTAATATAAAAACTGCTATTTCTTTTATAAAATTTATACTATTGATTATATTTATATTTACATTTACCTAAAGCATACGTAACGTATGTCATCCATTATTTTTCTTCTGCAGTTCGTATGCATGGGCGGAACACCGAAGAGGATGGAACAGTTCGCCGATTACATCATGGGTGAGATCGGGCACAAGCTTCCAACAGGTACTCGACTCCAGGACATCAGCCATTACTCCTACAGGTATTCCATGTACAAAGTGGGACCAGTCCTCTCTATAAGTGTAAGTATATTTTTATTTAATGTAAAACGTTTTATTTTGAAATCACTAGGGGGATACCCCCTCTCCGCCTAACGGTGGATCAACCCCCATTTTACAAATTATAAAACTGCTCATTATATATAATGTTGATTAAATTAAACAATATATAAAATATATTCAGAAAGTAAAAACATTTAGTAAAAATAACATGACATAATTGAAATGAAAAGAAAATCAGGAAACAGGAATACTATGAATTGATTCTTATGATTAAAAACTTAAACTTCAACAACTAATGTTATTCACTAATGTGAATTCACTAGTGCTCGTCATGATAATATATTTTTTTAATATATTACATTAGAAAATTCGTCTGTGAGGATGAATTGTTCCTATATTGCTCTTGCACAGGTGCTTAAAATATTAGTTTTCGAAAGAAAGGTCCTTCAGAGGATATTTGGCCCAGTTAATGAGAATGGTGAATGGAGAAATAGACACAACCAAGAACCAGCTAATTTTTTTTGTGTGTTTTTTTCGGATTTTTTTCCGCCATCCAAGGGAGAACGGCCCCCGTTCTTTACCCGTCTTGCAACAGTTAGGCGGTCTTGGTCTATTAAACGAAATACCAGGTTTTTCCCATCGAATCTTATCGATTGTATGTAATATCTAATAATATTAATAATTATCTAATAATATTAATAATTATCTAATAATATTAATAATTATCTAATAATATTAGTAATCATCTTAATATAAATATAATGAATAAAAGTTGATTTTCGGAATAATTCTAAGCTTTATCCGAAACATCTATCACGAAACTCGTTGAAAAAACAGATATAACATTAGTATAAACTTGATATTATATAAGATATGTATCAGTAGGTTCTCACAATTTTATATGGATATAAATATATATAAATACACATAATATATTACGAGCAAATAATCAGATAAATTATTTTTAAACGTTCATAGAAACCATGTTTTCCACCCACAAATCGATACTATTTTAGTTGATCTACTTGAATATCAATTTAACGGAATTTCAATTTCCTAAATTGAAAAATTCTCCTTATTTTCTCTGCAACTCTTACGTATATAATACAATTAAATAATATATCATTATTGAGATGTTATTTTAATTTTTTTCAATACTTTTTTTTTGAGATTCTCTTTAGACGAAGTAGTTTCAGAGATGAGGGCCAGAACAGTGAACTCTGTGTGAAATCGATTTCGTCTTCGCTCTTATCGAAGAAAGAGGCGTTGCTATGGTTGCTGTGGCCAACGCCTTACGAATCAGCACTAGTCCCAGTTTTAACTTCAACCAAACCCATTCTTATTTTATGTTTAATATTTTTAATCTAAATACAATTTTAAAATTCGTATTTAATTTTTTTCTTATAAACTCGTTATTTTCTCTATGATTCTCCTCAATGAAGGAAAAAAATTGTTATATTAAAAACAATTACAATTTTTTTTGCGGTTATAGAAGTATTAAAGATAATTTTGTAGGAGTACTACAAGTATTACATTTCAATGCTTAATCGATATTTTTTACCATTTTGTGGATTTATCAGATTTTAAAAATTTAAATCTTTTCCATTCTTTTTTAATCCAAGACTATTGTACTTCGTACATATTCCTCTATACTTTAGTATCTAAATTCCTTTTCAACAGGAATTTATATTTCTTCAGTTTGAGCTGGAGTACCTCAAGAATCAATACTTGATCCTTTATTATACATCATATAGACGCATCCCAACTCGGAGGCATTGACAGTAACCAACGTAGGCGATACCACTTAACTATATACCATTGTAAATCGTAAATTTACATAATTGCTTACTAAATTTACAAAGCGGTACTCACGCAGGAAAATATTATTAAATCTGAAAAAATTGTTCACACTTTGACAAGACACGTATCCGCCAGTTTTTATCGGCGATAACCAAATCTCTCAAATGGAGACAGAATGTTATCTTGGACTAACCAGGGGTGCCCATTTCCCTCAAGATCGATGGCACAAGAACCTCCTTCTTCCCCCTCCTCCTTCCAAGATATTTTATTGCTCATCTCTTCTTAAAAATAGAGCAAAATAAGTTATAATTAGAAAAATCATAGATCATATTCAATTACACTTGTTGCAGTCTGTTTCATGTTTTCTCCTTGTCCTTTAGTCGGAAAATTCATAAACCTGTTGAAATTTGCCCCTCTCAAAGATTCAAAAACATGCCCCCCTCAAAAATTTTAATGCCACAACTAGCGCCATGAAACCCCCCTTCTGGACAACCCTGGGACTAGCATTGGATAGGATGGTTACACATTAAAAAGAAAAGAATCACCTGAATTAATATAATAATGATAATAATAATGTATTTATTGAAAACAATTTTTTTTAAATATATATTTCTGCTTGCATAATACTCTTGGTAAATTACTATTGGATAATATGTCCAACAGCAGACAATATTCAAACATAAATTACTCAAAAATTAATCAATTCATTATTATTGTAGATCATAAGTATATTAAACACTAAGAACATAAATATATAGAGGTTTTTTATTTATTAAAAAAAACAACAAATATAACAACATAAATATAATGAGATATAACAATAAAAAAATTGACTAAATCCTCCATCTGTTTCATATTGCAACGGGTAGAGACCCCATTAGCATGTTTGACATACCTCCTGTAATTAAAGTATAGCAACTTTCCTCTTATCTTAAAAATCTAACTTATATCTGTCATAATTAAGTTATTATTTATATATGTTATATGATTATTTAATTCAAACGAATGGAGCGATTCTATTTCCATTACTGAAAGTATTTTTTTTTTCACTTCTTACAAAAGTTCTTACTTTGACCATCTATTATTAATAATAAAATAACATATTTACCATATATTATTACAATACAATAATTAAAATTGGAGAAGTAAATAATATTTTATAATGATTCTGTTACAGCATGGTATGGGTCTACCATCCGTGGCGATTCTACTGCATGAAGTGATCAAACTCATGTACCACGCCAAAGTAAGGGATCCTATCTTCTTCAGAATGGGAACTTCTGGAGGAATAGGATTAGAAGGAGGAACTGTGGTCATCTCAGAGCAGGCAGTCGATGGGCTCATGAGGTCCTTCTATGAGATAGTAAGTGGGGAATCATTGTATGTTAAAATATTGCTGAAAATCATTGTTATACTATTCATCAATTTATTTCATAGAGTCATCTAAAACCATAATTCTGTTAAAATGGCTACTGATGATCACTCCTAACGGAGTAACAGAACGATTATGTGGAGCGATTGGAATGAAGTAAATTTCTAGGACCCCCATCGATTCCATCATTGTATTTACTAAGAGATTGTGAATAATTCATGCTCCTAAAATTAAACAAAAAAATGTTCGTACTCATAAAATACACAGTTTTAGACATTAGCAAAACTAACTAAACTAAAAAGCTTTAATAAAAACTGGTTAACTTTGCTCGCGTCCATACATTGTACACGTGCCCTCTGGTTACAACTAAATGAGCAATATTGTCGCCGCGAAGACAGTTCAACAACATAGAATCCACAAAAATATGAATCCATCAAAATTAAGGAAACCAAAAGGTCCAGTCAACACACAGCTTAAGGCTATGTTCAGGAACGCTGGTGGCCTAACTGCTGACAAATTCACAGAATGGAATGGTATAAAGGAGGATGCTAATTTATATAGGATTGTAGAAGCTGGCTCATCCACTGAAAATATCCAGTTCTACCAATTACCAGGATATCAAACTTATAAACTGCAGAGATCCAGGCACGTTGCATCAGGAATAATTGTCGCTGCTAAATCATCCTTCAAGGTAACCTTTTCAATTAAAAAGAAGATGGAAGAGAATGATAAATTGGAGGCTGTACAGTTAGATGTATGGAAAAGGATGCATGGCGGAGTTGTGTTGGGCTGCTAGGAGCCGAATGGCCTAATAGCCAACGGCGGAGGGGTTTAATACAAAAAAAAAAAGCATTAGCAAAAATTATATTATTATATTAATTATATTAGCAGACAGAAGTATAGATTGATTAATAATTTTGGCTTTTTTTAATGAAATGAAAAAGTCATTAACCACATACTTTATATGTTCAAATTATTTTGTAGCTTGAGAATTAATGGTATATAGATTTCCGATTGCTCCAACACTTACTAGACAAACACTCTAAGCTTTCAATTAATTACAAAAGACTCATCTACTTAACCATAATAAAACCTATATGGATATATGGAGTTGAGCTTTGCGGCTCTACCAAACCATCGAATTCCTATCGTATCCAATCTTTACAATCCAAAATCCTTCGTAAAATCCTTAATGCCCCATATTTTGTCACAAATAAAACCATTCATAAAGACTTTAATGTTCCATATGCCGCTGATTTAGCCCGAGCCAGATACCTATCCTTCCATGATAAACTCCAGTCCCATCCGAATCCACTTGTTTCCAGCCTTGCTTCTTCCTCGATTCCTGATAATCCCCCTAGGCGTCTGAAAAGAAGATGGCCTCATGATCTTCTCACCTAGAATTAAATAGGGAGTGCTACCACTGGGTATCTCTTCAGGTCTGTTCATGTCATTATTTCTAATGTGTCCATTTTTACTAGTTGTATTGTTTATACAGTTGTAAATTTCATTAAATAAATATTTAAAAAAAATGGTATATAAATAGTACCTCTATCTTTACTCAACAATATGGAAATTTTGAGAAAATAATAAATTATTAATCCATTAAAAATAACCTTCTGATTAATATTTATGTTTTTAAACATAATCATTAGTAAAAACATTAAATTTGTAAGTTATTCATAAACATATTTTTATCAAATATTTTATATAACTAATATCATAAATTTAAACTCCACATAATTTACTGGCAAATAATTTTTATTATTATATTGCAACCTAAAAACTTAATAAAATATTTTCCATCTTTCCCGACCATATGTTTTCCATATTAATGTTTGTTTGGTGTGATTAGATCTCAAGAATGATAGAATTCGAGCGGTTTCAAATCATTTCATAAAAATCCAAAGGAGATTTCAATCTCATAGTCTTTCTAAATACTGTTTAGCAGAAAGCAGTAACGTTGGAGAGATCATCAGAAGCCATCTTAATATAAGCAATCTTGTTAACTGCAAATGTTTGAATCATCTCTTCAATTTAAAGTCATCGACTATGCAATAAAAATAAAATAAATATTAATGAAGAATTAATCATAGACAATAGAGAAAAATTAAAGTATTTTTTAAAACAATCTTGGTATGAAAAAAAATTAAATAATTGTATATGGATTTCTATAAATGTGTGTCTGTTCATTTTTTTTTTCAGCCTGTTCTTGGAAAACTGGTACAGCGACCCGCTGTATTGGACAAGAAATTAGTTCGAGAACTAAAAGCATTGCATCATGCTGATGATCCATATGACACTATCACTGGAAAGACGCTCTGTACTTCCGATTTTTATGAAGGTTATAACACGTTGAATATTATATAATTTAAGGAATATAGAATATTTTTATTTTTTATACAAATTATTGTAATGTTATATTAGATTATGGAAGTAAAAATGTAAATAATTTTTGTTTAAAATAATTGTAAAAGCATTAATATTAAGTATAAAGTTGTCAGAAAAAGATTTATATACAGTGGCTCGTAGTGAAATAAATACACCCCATAGAAAAATAAAAAAATACTTAAATGGTTACGGTAAACAAATAAAACCAAAACTCTTCAACAGATTTATTTATAACTTCAGTTTAAATAGGTACAAACTCAATAAAATTAAAATATTCAACTGTGACTATTCATAAAAATTAACAAACAAAAAAAACTGAATAATTTTACCTCACAGTCAAAATGATACACTTCATGTCTTATTGACTTTTAAATACTATTAATTTAGTCCAATACCTTATAGGCAAGCCATTATTCTCTAACACTTCTTTCAGTCTGTTTGCAATGGAGTCGATAAATTTTTTGGTGAATTCTGGGCTCAGCCTATTTCATTCTTCAAGAAGATATTTTTTAAAGTCTTCTTTGCTAAAAATTTAATGTTTTCTTTAAAATTTCTTCCTTCTATTTTGCCCACAGATGTTCTATCACATTAAGATCTAGTGACTTTAGTGGAGTTTTTATAATTCTGTAGTAGTTATAAAGTACTCATTCCTTAACTGACATGGCAGAGTGTTTGGGGTCTTATTCAGAGTAAAACTGAATTTGTTTTTTAGTTCAGATTTGCCACAATTTCATTCCAATCTCTTCTCAAAATGTCTATGTAAACATGTTTATTCACTATACTTTGTGCATATTTCCAATATAAAGTGAATGTTTTCTAACATTCCCACACAAAGAAACATAACATAAGAATAGAACATAAAACATAACATAATATATGAGAAATAAAAATAACATATTACTAGGATGTGTATTGATTACAATAAATTATTGTTTTTGATGTAATATAAATTGCACTATTTATTTATTCAATACTTTCAATCAATGTCCAGCTTTATAATTTAGACTGTGAGGCACTGTTTATACAATGAGAGAGAGTTAATAATTTCCGTTGTTTTTTTTTTTTTTTTTTTTTTTTTTTTTAGTAAGACCTTTTTTTAGTTTCCAGAAGAAAATATTTTAAATAGTGACCTCTATCATCCAAACATAGAAATAAAAATAGAAAAATAACTTTATTCTGGGGACCGTTTCCCTTGTGAAAACATATAAAAAATATAAACAGTAGTTGCAGAAAAATATAATGTATTTCTGGCCAAAAGACTAAAAGATAATGAAAAAGTGAAAAAAAAAAAATTGGTTAGCTAAAATATTTACATCAATTGTAAAGAAGAACAATTAAAAAAAGAAGAAAATATTCAGTAGAAATAAATAAAATGTATATAAATATACTCTAAACCAAGTACATATATTTAAACAAAACAAAACTAAGGTGTGCGCTTTAGATCACACGATCGAAGTGAAAACATCAACAAGACGAGATTAATAAAATGAAACATAAATTATAAATAATAGCTCATTATAAATAAAATGAAATGCTGAACATTTTTCTCAGTTTTAGTATACAGATCCGATTTTTAGTTTCTGAGATATTTTTATCCATATCTTCAATAAAACGTGTTATCATTTGGTTTTCAACACTATTTTTTCACTTTTCACCTATCTAACATGGTGATGGATTAAGATACAATTTTGTGTGTGATTTTTATTTTGTTATTACAATTATTATTAAGATACAAAAGAGTGTGAAATTATGAACATTTCCATCGCTAACAATGTGCAGTTACACATTGGAGATTCGACGACTCAATCTAATTCACTCTTCACAAAAAAATTGCAAAACATGCCTAAAGAAGTTTTCACTTCAATAATTCAATTTCTGTAAAAAAATATATTGGTTAAAATTTAAGTGTGTATTCAAAAGTACAATGTAATTAATCAAGAACAGAATCATGTTATGTAATACATGATTATCCAGTGTCTGACTGTTTTGTTAAGAGGAAGTGAAATAAGAGGGTTTAAAATGTGGATAAGAAAGGAGCATGTCAGATTTGAAGAGGAATAGAATTCCAGAATAAGGTGGTAGAGTGAGCAACAAAGGATTGTTGAAATGAGACAGATCTGTGAAAAGCAGTATAAAGGTCAGAGGGTTGAGATCTTGTGGTAAGAGAGTGGAAAGAAGACTTCAATTAGAGACTGTTGGCATAAGATGGGTGGGCGCTGGTTGTTGATTATTTGGTATAGGAATTGCCTAGTCACTATCACCTAAGCATAATAGTAGGAAACACGGAAACGTCTCGGGGTCCCATTGGCAAATCTTATGATACTATTCATAATCCCTTTTAGTCCGAGAACCGTAGAGCGGTTATAGCCAAGGTGGGGGAAAGATGAGGGAGGAAACTAAGATTCTTCATGTGGGTTTAGGTAGATGGGGGGAACGATAAAACAGTTTTAGGGTGTTATGTTTGGTTATTCATAACTTGTAAATCCATGAAATTACTTGTTTTTTTTTTTAAATTATTTCATTACATAATTTATCAAAATTCTATTGAATCCTTTCTTAATATGCAATACCATAACTTCCATAGGTCAAGGCAGATTAGATGGTGCATTCTGTGAGTTCTCGGAAACTGATAAAATGCAGTTCCTTGAAAAACTACACAAATCTGGAGTGATCAACATGGAAATGGAATCGCTAGCTTTTGCGGCTCTTACTCATCATGCAGGTATCAGAAGTGCGGTTATATGTGCCACCATTGTTGACAGGCTCAAAGGAGATCAGGTAACAAAATGTACCAAACTTATTAGTTATATTATTATTTTAAATATTTTATTTTATTTATTTATTTAAGTGCTGGGACCACTAGGGTCAATTACACTGTTGTCTCCTGTGGTTCATTATATTATATTATTGTATATTTTGATCATTTTTAAAAATTGAATGTCTTGAAATCGTTTCTGGGTCCTGTCTGAATATTTCTTCTGGATCTGCAGAATCTGTACGATTCATGAGTCGTTCACTTCGTAAATACGTATAGTACTGTTAGACTACACCCGCAGTAGGAACATTTTGGTGGTTCTTTCATCATCAGATAGCTGAGGGTGAGTCGAGTATGACCACCTCTTCTCTCCGTGTCAACTTTAGATTTTTCTTGGGACATTTTACGTATTGTTCTATCTGAAGATGAGACTACCGGGATGTTACATACGCCAATACATGGGACGAAATCAACTACTACAACAATTTTAAATACTTTTAGATGCCAATTTTCCATATAATCTACCAATCAGTTGAGGTAGATGTGAAAAAATATTCTCTTGAAGCGTGCAGGGTTATTTTTTAACTCCCTTAACTCATTGACAAGTTAAATTAATGAACGTATTAAAATGTAAAAGATGTAAAATCCTAATAAATTGCCTTTGACTTTAATATTTAACTGTTTAGAATAGAATAGAAAATAATTTTATTCTGGGCAGAAGTCCCTTCAGAATAACAAAAAAGTACAAAATTAAAATGTTATATCTGGCCAAATAAAAACAAACATAAAAAGTAAAGATAAAGATAAATCAGTAAAAAAGTATTAGTTATACATACTATATACAAAATAAAATAAAAAAATCTATATACAAAACTCTTGAAACCTTACCAAGACACTTAAAACTATGTACAATGGTAAAATATAAATATACACTTTTAGAAAAAATAAAAAATATTAGGTTTATATTGTTATAATGAGGAATTATTGTTACAATGTTTTTGTACATTGAAAGTTCTATATTGCTACAATTCTGGCTATCCATTTCTTTAAGATAGGTGCGGTTTTTTTTTCTTTACTGGACTGGCTCTATTTATTTATTTAGTCCTTCTTCTTCTTTACTGGCACTACAGTCCAAGGAGAACTTTGATCTCCGATAAAATTTTATTTCATGGATGGATCCCAATTTTTTTCTAGCTGTTTCCATCCAGTTATTCCTCCAACCAAGGTTGAAAATAAATCTCCGAAAATAACCATCAGAAAGTATACGTATAATATAGCGTTGGAAAACACAGAATTTTAGAAAAAATAATATCAAATAAATAAAGTTGTAGAATGTAACAGAGGGTAACGAAAAAAATATATATAATAATTTCAGAAAACTAACATTATATAATGTAAATCACATGTTTCTAAGGAAATTTTTTTTTTTTTTTGACTTGATTCTTCAACTCACACCTGTCAGAAGTTCCGACAATCAGCGAGTGTGATGTCAAGATGAAGAGATTGGTCTTGGAATAGGCGTGAGGGAGAGGAGTACCCAGCGGCGTCCTTCCTGTCTTGAGCGTAATATTTCTAGTTAGTGGAGGAGATCCCTCATCCAGCTTCTTTTAAGCCTCCTTCGGGTGCTATCGGGCATGTTAGTTGTGGCCATGCCTCGAATCAATGAGTTTGTATGTCCATGTAAGTTATTATGAAATCGTTTGTAGTATGTTCGTATGTGGTCGTTAACTGTTGGCATCTGTAAGTCTTTATGTAGAGTAATGTTACTGACGTACCAGGGAGCTTTGGTAATAGTCCTGAAAGTTTTAGATTGAAAAGTCTGTAATTTACGTATGTGAGTCTTTTTGGCTGTCCCATATATCTGTAAAGCGTAGGTCCAAATAGGCTTGAGTAGGTAAGTATATGTATTCAATTTCTGTCTAAGTTTTAATTTAGAATTTCTTGCAAGGAGTGAGTACAGTAGGCGTAGTCTTAGGTTTAAAGTTTTTGTTTTGTTTTTGATATGTTGGCCCCATGTCATTCTTCTGTCAAAGGTCAGTCCAAGATATTGAACTTTGTCTGTCTGAGGAATTTGGATATTGTCAAGGTAAATAGGGGGGCAAGTTTCACGTCGAAGGGTAAAAGTGATATGTTGTGATTTGTCAAGGTTGAGTCGAATTTTCCAGAGTTTGCACCAGTCGTAGAAATTGTTTAGGTGATATTGTAAAGTCTGTGAGGCGTATGCTGAATTTTGATGTCTTGTCAAGATTGTTGTATCGTCTGCGTAAGTCGCGGTCAGAGTATAGAGAGGATCTGGAATATCATATGTGTAAATAATATACAACAGAGGAGCGAGTACTGACCCCTGAGGCACCCCTGCTAGGGCTGGTTTAATGGTAGATAGTTCTGTACCTTGGCAAACAGAGAAAAATCTGTCAGAAAGAAAAGATTGAAGAATAAGATAGTAGGTTGGAGGGAGTATAGTCTTAAGTTTGAAAAGAAGTCCCTGATGCCAGACTCTATCGAACGCTTGAGCAACATCCAGAAATACTCCTGTTGCATATAATTTGTGCTCTAGTGCTGTCGCAATGTAGTCTGTCACTCGGTGTAGCTGATGAATGGTTGAGTGGTGTGAACGAAATCCAAACTGATGTTCAGGTATTATGTTTTCAGTAGTCAGTATGTCAAGAAGTCGTTTGTAGAGAAGTTTCTCAAAGATTTTAGAGCATAATGGGAGCAAGCTGATGGGTCTGTATGATGAAGGAAGGTCAGTGTTTTTGTTAGGTTTGTGAATCATTTTTATGAATGAGTATTTCCATTGTAAGGGGAATTTAGTCGTTCTGAGTATTGCGTTATAAATTGATGTTAGGTATACTAGAGCTTTCCTTGGCATTTTCTGGAGCACTTGAGCATTTATCAGGTCATGACCGGGAGCTTTCTTTTTAGGTAACTGTCTGATTTGCTCTGCAACTTGAGTGGGAGTGAAGCAAAGTGGAGGTAATGACAGTTGTAAAGGAATGTCTAAAGTGTTTTGTACATGTCTTTCGTGATCAGTATTAGAGAAGTCAGTATGTGGTATGAAAACAGAAGAAAGATGGTTGGCAAAGAGCTCAGATTTTTCAAGGTCTGACACAGTCTAAGGAAATTAAATGAAATTTTCTTACTAAATGCAAACTTTTAAATTTTTTTCTAAGTTTGGAAAAAAAGTAATTAAAATTCACCGAATCAAGCCAATGCCATTGTTTAAAATATTATTTCATTGTACTTGTGTGAAAGAAGAAGTGAAATATAAAAATATTTCATTGATATGTTTATTACCTTAAATACATTTACTGTAGTTTAATAGCTCTATATAAGATTTTATATTTAAATAATTAAGTATCTATTGGCTGTTTATTCCATAAAATCATCAAGTAACCTTTTCATTCATTCATGTATGGCACAACATCCCGTCACCGAGACTGGGCCTCCTCCAAGAGCCTCCGCCAGTTGGCTCTGTCTTCTGCTGCAGCTCTCCAGTTCCGCACACCAAGCAGGGTTCTCGCATCATAGGCCACGTTGTCCAACCATCTCGTCCTCGGCCTTCCTACCCGTCTTACGAGGTGCAGCTCCTCCATCATTATTTTTTTTGGTATTTCAAGGGTGCTCATTCTGGCCACATGCCCTGCCCACCTTAGTCTGGCCAGTTTAATATACGTGACTACGTCGATGTCTGCATAGAGAGAACTGAGCTCCCTATTTTTTCTTTTCCTCCAGACATCACCCTCCTTTACTGGACCATAAATCCTTCTGAGGACTCCTCGCTCAAAGACACTCAGCTTCATCTCATCCCTTTTGGTCATCGTCCAAGCCTCTGAGCCATATGTCAAAACAGGCCGAACAAGGGTCTTGTATATGATCAGCTTGGTCTTCTTTGAGAGGTACCTACTTCTTAAGTGTCGGCCAAGTCCAAAGACACATCTATTGGCAGCCGTGATCCTTCTTTGTATTTCTTGAGCCATGTCATTCTTGCTATTGATTTCAGACCCAAGGTATATAAAACTTTTCACTCTCTCAAACTTAAAAGAACCTACCTCAAATGGAGAGTTCAGATCAACCTCACCGCCAACTCTCATATACTTAGTTTTCCTCTCGTTGACTTCTAGACCAAGTGGTCTTGCAGCTGCTTCAAGGCTTATAAACGCTTCTCTGAGAGCCCGTTCAGACCTACCTACTATGTCAATATCATCAGCAAAACCAAGAAGCTGTGTCAGGCGATTGAAGATTATATCTTTGGTCTGAATACCGGAGTCTCTTACAGCTTTCTCCTCTGCCAAATTGAACAATAGACAGGCGAGGGCATCCCCTTGCCTAACCCCACTGCTCACTTTAAACTCTTCGGAGTCGTCAGAACCGACGCGTATTCTGCATCTCGAGCTGTCCATGGTCATCTTGATTAGGCGTACGAGCTTCTGAGGGATGCTTAGCTCCTCCAAGGCACAGTATAGTTGCGTTCTATCAACGCTGTCGTATGCTGCTTTAAAGTCCAGGAATAAATGGTGGGTGACTACCTTACGCTCCATAGTCTTTTCTAGGATCATCCTCAGAGAGAACAGTTGATCAGTCGTTGAGCGTCCTCTTCGAAATCCAGCCTGATATTTCCCCAGTTCCTTTTCAGAATACGGGAGGATCCTCTCAAAAAGAATGTTAGAGAGCAGCTTATAAGCACACGAAAGGAGTGAGATTCCTCGATAGTTAGCGCATTCTGTTTGATCTCCTTTCTTATGTATTGGGCAGATAATGGCTGTTGCCCATTCCGTAGGCATAGCTTCCTTCTCCCAGATGGTCAGCATTAAATCATGCAGAGCTTTCTTGAGTTCTTCACCTCCACATTTCAACAGCTCTGACTGGATTCCGTCCGGGCCTGGCGCCTTTCCATTTTTCAATTTCCTCAGGGCGTTTTCCATTTCCTCCTCATCCGGGGGTTCAATAGAATTCAGGGAGTCTTCCTTCATTACACCTACTTCTCCAGGCACCGTTCCTCTGTTTAATGCGCCTTTGAAATGTTGTACCCATCTCCTTAGTACGTCATCTTTGTGGCTTAAAAGAGTTCCATTTGTGTCTTTGCATGCCGTCACTCTGGGCCTAAAAGCTGCCCTACCCTCGTTTATTCTCTGAAAGAACAGGCGACTTTCATTTTGGCCTCGCAATGCCTCTGTGTCCTCCATGTTCTTATTTTCCCAAGCTCTTCTCTTTCCGCGGAATAATCTCTTCTCTTCGCGTCTTTTTCTTCTATATGTTTCTTGGGAGAGCCTTGTGGGACGCTGAACCTTCTTTCTGTAGGCTTCATTTTTCACTTTTACTGCTTGAAGGCACTCAGCATCAAACCATGGGGGCCTTCTAGATTTAGTCTCGTAGCCAAGAGCTTCTTCTGCTGCCTGTTTCATTGCGTTGCTGCATCTCTTCCACTGTTCATCGACCATAGAGCTGTCATTAATTACTTCTTCATTAAGTTTCGTCTCCACAGCTTGTTGATACGAATATTGGTGGTCTGAGTCCTTAAGTTTAACCACATCAATCTTCTTCTTTGGTCGTTGGTAGTGGTTTTTAATCAGCGAAATTCGTGATCTGACCTCGGCAATGCTCAAATAGTGATCCGTGTCCATATTTGCACCTCTATAAGATCTTGCATTTATCATGTTGGACTTGTGACGGGCACTAATGAGTACATGGTCTATCTGTGATGCTGTTTGCCCATTTGGAGAGATCCATGTTGCTTTGTGGATATTCTTTCGAGGAAAAAGAGTTGTTCCAACAACCAGTCCGTGCAATGTAGCAAAGTTCACCATCCGTAGCCCATTATCATTACTGGTCTCATGCAAGCTGTGGGTTCCTATGGTCGGCATGAGTGCCACCTCCTTACCAACTTGTGCGTTAAAGTCACCAAGAATGATTTTAACATCATTTTTGGGGCAGCTTTCTGTCACGCGTCCAAGTTCTTCATAAAATGCTTCCTTATCCTCCTCAGGTGACACCTCTGTTGGGGCATGGCAGTTGATTAGAGAGAAATTAAAAAATTTTCCTCTAAGCCGAATGTAGCATAACCTTTGGTTAATGGGAGTAAATCGCATCACCAACTGTCGAGCTCTGCCTCTCACAACAAATCCGGTACCGAAGATGTGATGCTTTTCATGGCAGCTATAGTAGAGTGTATGGTACTTCTTCTCCATAATTCCCTGTCCTATCCATCGGACCTCTTGGATAGCTGCTATGTCGATTCTGTATGTGTCCACTTCTGCAAGGAGCGCACGAAGTGCTCCTAGTCTATGTAATGATAAAATGTTCCAAAATCCAATTCTTAGGTCATTTAGGCGTTTCCTGGGTCTGTTACCGTAATTCAGTCCGGCTTCTTCTCTTTGAGGTTTCGTAATAAGGTACTTTAGGGGGGGTGGGTTATCAGCCCACTGCCCCCGAGTCAGGTAGAGGGGCTGCCTCCTCCGAGCATCCTGACTAGCTCCCCCATCCGGGGCGGCTACCTAGGGAAGGTGACCCTAGGGTGTGTACTGTAGGTGACCTTTGTCTGTAGTGTTTAGGTGTTGTAGTGTGCTGTCTAAAGTGTACTTGGTGTGTGAGTGGTCGCGTAAGTGTTCCCCCAACCTGGAGGGCCAGTGGCTGGTTGCGGTACAATGACCGGGCGATGGGACCGCCACCTCCCTACGCCAAAGTAACCTTTTAGAAAATTAAATTAGTGAATAGTTTGATGAATATTCCCTTTGTGAAATCTGAGCATTATCCACTTTCAATTAGTGTTACAACTTTTGACCTATCCATGGCAAGCAATGAAAATCTCATAATTTCATTTTAGTAAAATTTAGAAAAGAAAATAGAAAATAACTTTATTCTGGAACAAAGTCCCTTTAGAATAACAAAATAGAACATAATTAAAATACTACATCTGGCCAAATTAAACCATTTAAAAAATAAAACTTTACAGTAGAAAATAATAGTTTAATAACTAATAGTCTTACAATCCATAATCAATTATAAGTTAAATATTCAGATATACTTTCTGATCTCTCCAGGCATATATGAGCCTTTTGGTTGACACAAGGACTAACTCCAATTTCAACATTCTTTATTATTAATTTTAATGATGTTTCTTGTGGGAAAATTTATACCTATATTCACAGTTCTATATTTTAACACTGCGATCACTTACTCTGGAATCAACTTACTCACTGTCTGTATAGATATAACTATTCCAACTATAAATATCACTAAAGCAACGTTACTCAAAAATGATGAAATTGGATTAAGTCATTCTGTTAACTGAAAGGTTCAGAGACTGAAGTTGTGTGGTTTATAAAAGCAGATGGAGTAACTATATTTTTATTGCTGTCTATTTAATAAATAGACTTTTTGTGATTTTTGTGATTTTAATGGTCTTAATGATTTAATATCTGTAAGCTTTAAGCTTTGGCTACGTTTAAAATGCACTTCAAACATTTTATAAAAGCCCAACATTTTCTATTCTAAAGTGAAAGTTGTATATTGCGTGCACCAATTTTTTTTTTCTCATACAAGTTCTCTTCTATTATTATTTTTGTCATCCTATCATCTTCCATTCTCTTAATTTATTTATAATTATGAATTATTCACCATAGACTATATTTATTTAGTTATTGAAATATATTTAAATTCCCACATCACCTTACATAGAAATCAATGTATGATATTTTTTAAAGAAATGTCTAATCATTATATTATTATATTTAATATATCGTAATATGTTCCTACAGATTCAGACTCCAAAAGAAGTTCTGGATGAATGGCAGGAGAGACCACAGAAGTTAATCTCTAGGTACATCAAGAAGTACCTTCAGACGAAGGGTCGCTTCATGGACTCTTATTGCGGATCACCTTGTGTCAAGTCACCGCGTCGTTTCAAGCTGGTTCAGCAAGAATCAGAGAATTATGACTAAATGTGATTAAGAGAAGAAGAAAAAGAAGGCTTTTGCTATGTTCTAATTTTAAAATGAAAGAATTTTATATAATGTAAGGGTTATATTTCATATTGCCAAAATTTGCAAAAGTATTCTAATTTCCTATTTTTTGTACTTAGTTTGTTTATATTCATTTATCTAAGTAATATAATTTGTAATTTTTTTTATATTTTCTTTAGTGTTTCTTCATAATTATTTTTTTATTATTTTGTAATTTTTGTTTTTTACTATATTTGAAACAGGAATATTATTAAACATTTAAGTTCATAAAATAATTCCTCAAAAGCCAAAATATTCTTGTGACATCATCTTTAAAATCTTTTGGCACAGTCCTGTGTTGGGATTTCAAGTTTTGAAAAATAAATTAGATATTACAAGAATATTTTTGCTAATTGTGTATTTTTAATATAGCGAATTAGTTATTATAATTAATTTTGTTAAATGTTAGTAACTTTAGTAATAATATTAAAATATATATTTCTGAGTTCCTTGGTTTTATAACTAACTAGTTAATATATATATTTTATGATTTATTATTGATGATTATTTTACTCAAATTAAAATATATTTATTTGGATATCAATAACAAAAGTATCATAATTCTGAAAATGTGTTAAAAGTTGACGAATTTACAAAAAAAAAGTACTGCCTATAAGCTGAAAATTATTTATACAATTGTTGATTTTTTTTTCATATTTATGACTATGTATAATTATTTCAGTGTTCGCTTAAAATATTTCAGATCTAGTCAACATTTCAGATGTTCAGCTTTGATTACAACCATGAAGGAAATCAGTCTGTGAATTGAAACTACTGTATTTACTTGAAATAAACATTAATGTTTTATTTATTTGAATAGAAATTTTGATTTTTCATTTATTAATTCTGCAATTCATATTATGACTGTTAGTAACCATGGATAATTAGACCTTCATGTCTGTAATCCGTTTTAGACATTGCTATATGTGTTAATAAACAATGGTGCTTATTTTTTTGTTGTAGAATAGATGCACTTTTGATCGATTTTATTAAATCAATGGGTACGTGAAGCGATTATTATTGAAATAGATATTCCTCTTTTTGATTTTCAATTTTTTTTTTTTAATGATATAATAATGTGTAATGAGAACTTCTGCTCATTATATAATTATTCGTGTTTTTAAATAAAAATAAAAAAAGAAAGAAGGGTAAAGATATTTTCATACGTTTCCATTCAAAAATAAAATACGTTACAATAATGGTACGCTTATGCTCACAAAACCAAATAAAGTGCTAAACACACCTATCATCGAATATTTGTCGATATTCCAGTTTAAGAAAGTGTTAACATTCCCTTAATCATTCCTAAAAGTGATTTTTTACAAGTATAGATGTCTTTTGTGAAAATCATTAGACTGATTAACACTGCTTCAGCAAATATTTGGAAATCGCTTTAATTTGTTTAAAATAAGTAGTTATTAGGCAATTAAACTAGTGCTTTATGAAGATAATATTGTATCTTATATTTGGTTTTTTCATACCCAGAATAATTACAATAATTTTTACTATTGATATGTCTAAAATACAATAATATTTTGTAAATGAACATAATAATTTGATACCCTTTAATAAAATTCTATTTCACCCTATTATTACAATATGCCTTGCTATTGGAACTGTGCCATAAATTGCCTTAATATTGATAATTATTGTTGGCAGTATTTATAAATTAATATTTCGGATTTGCATTGAATATTTACTCTTGAAAAAATTTTCTATGCTTAGAAAATTTAAATTTTTTTTTCAAATGTATCAATGTATGTTGTTTTTATATATTTCAAGGTTTCAAGCACATTTCCATAAAATTTTCTGACAATAGTAACTCTGAAATCAAATGGAGAAATGAAAACAAAAAAATAAATTACATGGGATGCAACCTAAAATGGTGTATTTTCTGGTTTACTGAAGACTGATTGTCACATAAACATATTTAATTTTTGGATATATATTTTAGTGAACAAGCTTATTTGAAGTATTTATTAGCTATATTAATTACCATTTTTAGATTTTAAAAGAAATTATTACATTTAAAAAATAAAATAAATTCAAATTATTACTACACATTACTTTATGTATTTAGTTGATTAATTTCTTGGCTAATAAATTACTCAGAAATATTATTCATAATTTTCTGTGATCTTGATTTCTCATTCAATCCTGTTAACTTTTAAAATGTGTTTTATGTAATTGGGTTTGGTAAGAAAATATAATTTGTTGGCTTATTGACTTATTTGAAATTTTTCACATTTTTTCAATCACAACTATTGAATTCATAAAATTTGTTTAACATATTCCTTTTTCAAAGTTGTCCTGGCAGAATTTTGTATAATTACAAATATCCCCTGTTATAATTTATGAAATAGCATAGTTTTTAAAACAAAAGTTTTATTATTTTAAATATCAATGAAACTTGATTTTTTTTTTCTCTACTTTTTCTGTAGTTATTAATTTTTGGAATGGAGACAATATGAAGAATTATGAAATGTAAATAAAAACTATAAAACAATATTTAAAACTGTGATGATTCCATTTATACTTGTGGGAAATACAAAATACTGAGAATTGCTTAGCTCATCATGTTTTCTTAAAAATTAATTTGTACTTTTTTACTTTGATTACTGTAGTTCATTGATTAATGTTAGAGTAAATAAATATTGTGTTCATTTAACACACCATTTAATGTAGGAGATAGAAAATAACATTTTTATATTTTGGCATTATTTTATAAATTTATGTTTCATTAAAAAACAAAATCTTTTAAATTATTAATTATAAAATATGTGGAATACATAAATTAAAATTGATCTTTCATTTTATTGTAATATACAAAAGTTAACTTCATAAATTTATTTAGTAATATGAAATGTAGTTTCTTTCGGAAAAATATCAGTATCTAAATAAAATTATACCTGTTTTAGAACAACTTTAATGTTCATACAGATGATGTTAATACACAGCTGTTAACAAATGGAAATAACTTAAGAGAGAAACTTTTAATGCAAATAAAATAAAAATAATCTTTTATTATTAAAATTATGATTGACATAAAAATTAGTAAATTTGATTGAAGTAATGTAAAATAAATAAAAATGTAAAAAAAAAAAAAAAATTAAGTGCATTTGATAATGTTGCTGGCTGAAGTTAAAGAAAGAAAGAATGCTTTATCTTCCTTGAGAATAACCTCTCCTGCCAAAACTCCCCCTACTAAATTCCTCTTAAGTTGTTAGCCAATTAAATTAAATTCAAAGAAAGCAATGACTTATGTAGAAAGTTTTAAGAAAGATATATATATTTACTGTGGATATCATGATTTAAAAAAAAAGAAGAATATCTGTATAACTTATTGAGGAATCAACAGTTCCATGCATTTAATAATTTACTTCATTACACATCAAAAATACATTAATCACAAATATATTTTCAATAATAACTTTGAAAAATTCTTGGTATACATATTTTACTCATCATCGTAAAATTAGTATAAATATTACAGTAAGATCTGCTAATCTATATTATTTGCACATTGAAAGTATTAAAATGGTGGATTTGCAAGCATTTTATATATTTATATGCAATTTTGAGTGTGCTGAATATAACCAACATATGTTATATATGATAAGAAAAAAAGTTAGCAATAGATTCGTTAAATGATATTTGTGAAACATAGAAGTAATAATAAACAATTTTATATATAATTATTTAAAATATGTTTTAAGAATATTACTCAATAGGTCTTCAATGAAATATTAAAAAATTGTCATTATTGCTCTAAAATGAGAAGATTCTTAAATAAACCAATAAGATTTCCATTAATTAAAACTGATGACACATTGGGGACCTATGTGCATTACAATTCTAAACAAAACAATAGTTGAATTAGATTGAATTGTAAGTTTAACATGTTACTTCATTAAAGTTTTATTAATTTGGAGTATCCATAGTGTAGATTATGAACAAAAAATAACAATAACAGAAATATGTAAAAAAAAATTAATAAATTAAGGGTGTTCACATTTTTTGTAGCTTTGATGTTTTATATCTATTAAACATGATGTTTGTTCAAGTCTTGGTGTTCTTACTATATATACATAATCTAAAATATCTATTTCATGTTTATATGTGTGATGAAACCTTACAAAAGTGGGTGATTTTATACTAATTAATTTAATGGTTAATTACAATAAACATTGATGGATAATACTTTATATAATTAACATTATTTTTGACACATAATTAGGATTTATAAATTCTTGGCTAGAGGTATTTCTTATGTGTATCATTCCATATTTTTTTTACCCATAGTATGAACATTTTTGAAAAAAAAAATTGGCTGATTAATTATGGTTGATAAATTTATAATATACCACCTAAGCTAGTCAGAATGAGTTGTAAAATATTTATTTTATGTATATTCTACTACAGGGGTCTTCAAACTACAGTCCGCAAGCATTTACAATCCGGTCTGGGAATGTTTCATTGATTACATGATGAAGTTTTAAAAAATATGAAATTTGGTAAATCATTTTAACATGAGGTTACTACACCATTATATTATATATATATATATATATATATATATATATATATATATATATATATTATATATATATATATATATATATATATATATATATATATATATATAATATATATTATATTAGTTACTTAATTTCATATCTAAGTGTCATTTATAGAGCAAGTTTTTTTATTATCATCACTAGGCATGGGCCATAGTACTTCGTGGACGTATCATTGTGGGTTGCGGATCAAAAACTTTGGAGATCCCTGTTCTAAACATGAATTTTCATCAATTCAGGTGGTAATTTTATTGAATCTCTTACTATAGATCTTTAGGGAGATTAACAAAAAATGTAAATGGTGTTTATTTGAGAAGTTAGATTTCAATACAATTACAAGTCTAACCATTTCATCCACAAGTATTATTCATTTTTTATAGATAATATATTTATTTATTTATTTTAGAACCATCAAATTTACATTAGATTAAAAGATTTAAATGTTTTCTTGTTTATGTTTGGTGTAATTTTCTAAATCA